TTTTTTTTTTTTTTTTTTTTTTTTTTTTTTTTTTTTTTTTTTTTTTTTTTTTTTTGTTAGTGTTCAGCTAATAAAATATAGTGGTGGGGCTGTAGATAGATTTGAACAATTTTTTTTTTTTTTTAATTTTTTTATAGTGTTCCGCTAACATAGTAGGCTATAGATAGATCTAAACATTTGACATTTTCGTCAATTGTATATATTTTAAACTCCTTTCAGAATGACAGGAGGCAATAGTGCAATACTAGAGTCTGGATAAATGCTATAATAGCAGTAATTCCTGCATTTGAACTTCATAAATAAAAGTTAAGCATGCACTTACTCAAATGTCTTAATATATTGAATCACAGTACAGCTGCGTCGCAATCTAGTCCTGATGATGCGAAATTATTAGCATATATATCTATGAATATATACATTAACTAGCGTTCTTTTGTTTTCTATTTAATCATGAAGAAACTGGTTAGATGTTTAGTGCTGAAAGATGCCCATATTGATTGCCCATTGGCTCGGCATTCCCCATGACTAAGAAGGCCACAACCTTCAGTGCCAAGTACGCAGGTCCCTTTTCATCGTGCTTGATAACATGGATGTGCGGCTGCTAATTTGGCGCCTGTAAAATTGTGCAATCATTGTTCAATTCTTCAATAATGGCACCATAGAAAATTGAAAACTTTTGTACCAGCGAATTTGGTATCTGATATCTCTTTAGTCTATCCTCATATCTTATTTCACTTAACCGACAATTTCTTTTTTCCTGAAGGTACATTAATTTATGCTACTGATTGGATGTTCTTTAGATATTTTAGTAGAAGAAGAACCTAGAATATGAAGACTACACAGAAAAGGTACACATCTCCTTTCATTTTTCACTTAAAATAACTTTTATGGTATAGCTTGTGGAATTTGAATTGATTACCTGATTACCTACTTTTATGGCATACCTATAATATGAAGACTACACAGCAAAGGTACACATCTCAAGCTATACATTTTTTGCCATGTTGGAGTCTGTTTATCCTATGGTCATATGAACTTGGAATTCTAGAACTCACTTTTCAAGATACACACTTTTACGAGTCATTTTATAAGTCTCAAACCCACAAATCAAATACAAAATAAATTTAAGTTCTCTAACCTTTTATTTTTATTTTTTATTATTCAACTAGTAGGTTAGTTAGTGTTCGAATTTCAACTTTCTATCTATTTGGTTTCTAAACTTCATAACATATTTTAAGTCCATTGAGCTCGTCTATTAAAAAATTTTGAAAATTCATGAACCTATTAGGCACAAAATTTTTAAAGTTAAAAATTTATTAGGTAAGCTTAATAACTTTTTAAACTTAAAAGTTCAAAAATTAAATTGGTAATTTAACCATATAAACGTAAGTTGCTCAAAGTCAAAATTTAAAGCTTTAGGCTGATAATTCCATCTTAGGCTTGCTAAAACTATCTGCCAAAGTTTCCTCATTTCTTAAATGACTAGGTAAAAAAATAACATAAAGAACATCAAACTTAGTATAAACCTCAATCACACCCATCGAATAGTTTCTCAAAATTTCTTATAATTTGAATGCAACTTTTATAGAAATTAAGGGTTTCCAACCTTAGGCTACAGTTTTTCCCCCCCTTTTTTCCCCTTCTTATGAGTACAAATGCTACACAAATCTAGGCTTATTAAAATTGTAAGCCAAATATCCTCTTAATTTTCAAATCTCTTGGCAGAAAAAACACATAAAGACCATCAAAATAGTATTACTCTTTTTTGCCCTTTGGACAATTCTCCTCCTTTGAAACTTGTGCTTCTTACTTTTCAAACCCTTGTTAGACCTCACAAGTGGAATATCCTTTTAGATATGCCCTTTCTAAATGAGCAATTGAAATGAAATGTTTGCATTCACATAGTGCATAGAACAAATATCAATGAAACTTACATATTTATCAAGAACGATGGAAATAGAGCAACAGAAGCCCTACGTCTAAGATCAAACAATATCTTTTACTTCTTGATTTGATTTTCATTTGTCTATATATTCCATGATGAGAACAAAGTGTTATTAGATATTTTTCTTTTGGAGGGGCCTCAATCTTCTAAAGATCAGAATAATAGTCAGTCATCTGGATTGGATTATAATAGGTATGCTCTTGATTTGGAAGTCTAATTGGTCATGATTTAAAAAATCTTCATAATTGGAGGGTTGTCCTTGCGAAACCCAAATGGAAGATGACTAAGGCCTCCGGAAACATCCATTTGGATTCTAGATTTTGGAATTTGTATTTGTTGGTGTTCTTTAGGCAAGGCTAGTCCCTACCCTACCCTAGTGGTATCTTTTTTTCTTTCCAATTGGGTCACCTTCAAGAAAGCTTAATTTACATCTATTCAGGCTTTAATCATTTGGCCTCCATCAAAGTCGTTGTTTTCAATGCCTTGTTGACCTCTAATTAGACTAATGGACAAATTAGTTGGATGAAATTATGGGAAATTATCAAAATTTGCCAAGATGGGATATCCTGTGTGTCGGTCCACGTAGATTATTCCACATTTTAATTGGCAGACCTCTTCTTTTTCTTCCTCCTTTTTTTCTTGTCGGTGAACAGTAATAGAATATTCTTTGATTATAAATCTATGATCACTCCCTAAATCAGTCGATGTTGGACTTTCATCATCCAACATCTCCCCTCAAACAAAGTACGCCTCCCCTTATTACTGCCTTCAAGGAGGTTTGACTCCTTTTCTTCTAGAGTCATTTGTTCGACATTTGAAGATTTACCAATCTATTGGCACGACTAAGTTTAGGGCGTGACTCTAATACTATGTTAAATGAACACGACTCTCCACAATAGTATGATATTGTCCACTTTGAGCATAAGCTCTCATGGTTTTACTTTGGACTTCTCCAAAAGGCTTAATTCCGATGGAGATAGTATTTTTTTATTATAAACTCATGATCATTCCCTAAATTAGCCAAGGACTTTCATTATCCAATAAAAATAACATTAATTGTGACAATATTAAAATGGGCGTTATTAATGGCTTAAATTTCATTTCAATGTATTAATAAAAATTTATGTTGACATACAATGCTTAGATTTAAAAATAATAGAAAATAGTTTTTAAGTCCTAAATTTAAATATTAAATTGCTAAAGTTGTGAACAATCCCGATTATAGGAATATGTGTTGACCATGAATGAACCATGGTTAATCTTGAGATTAGATTTGCTTCGGTTCAAAAAATAAAAATATAATAAGATAAAAATAAAATAAAGCATATCGAATAAAAGATCGATTGAAAAGCGGCTTTACCTATAAAATCTTTCTTTCTTTTGTTGAACTTGACGAAGTTCGCACCATATTAATTTCTCCATCTTTTTTTTTTTTAATTCTAAAATTAGATATTTTGATTTAAAGGTTAAATAAATTTTAATAAAAAAATTGTTGTTCTGTTTAAATGTCTTTTAAAAAACACCGACACCTCTCTTGATCTCGACGGAGTATCAAACTATGCATTAATTCTTAATTTTATATATTGTTATATTTCAAATAATCATTTTCTTTCCATTATTTTTTTATGCTTTAAACTAACATGGTATCATAGTTATGTTCTAAAATTTAGTCATGTCATACCATTGTAGATAATATCATACCATTATAGAGAGTCATATTCATCGAAAATGGTATCATAATTTAGTCATGTCAATAGAATTCTCAAATGTCAAACGAATGACTTCAAAAAGAAAAAATGGTCGAGTCTCGATTAAAGGAAGACATATTTTGTTCGAGAGGAGGGGTTGGATGAAAGTCCCACATCAGCTATAAGAATACTATGTCTATTGGTATGAGGCATTTTGAGAAAGTCCACTTATGCCGAAAGTGGACAATACCATACTATTATAGAAAGTCACTTGTTTTCTATAGAAAGAAACTAATCTGGGTTAATATTAATTAATGACTAAATGATGAGAAATTCTCTAATCTATTTTTAGCTGAATTTATAAAAAAAAAAAAAAATTAAAATCATGATGATAATTAGTTTTTAAGGGGCCAAGTTTGTGAAAATAGGTATTTTGAAGTCCCTATATTTATTCGCTTTGTGTCATTATTCCTTGCCTTTCTTATTTTGAAAATTTCCTGTGATTGCGTGTCCCATTATTTCCAAATTTTCTCCGCGGAAAGACAAACGAAAGCTTCCAACGAAGCTGCAACGTGTCGCCGAGTGAGTGGCTGATAGAGTATCCTTTAAAAAAAACTGTGTAAGCCGTAAGGCCCGTCTGGTCACCAATAAGCCATCTTCAAATCCGCCACGTGTAATTTTTGCCGACACTAAATACATCTCCGTGATTATTTAGAGATTATCAATTTTTTAATTAAAAACTCAAACCATTTTTCATAAGGTCAAAACTGCCCCTCTGGAAAACATTCCACTGGGATTCTGGACTGGATTTTGTCATATATATATATATATATATTATTAAAAACATATAAATAATAATTTATTCTCATTTACCAATTTAATGAAAAATCAAATACTAAAGGAAATGACGGTGTTGGTGTTACACAGCTATCCCGAGTCCAATCACGTGCTTACCTTTTCAATTATTATATTTTACTTTCAACTACTTTGACCAATTTTTAGGCTCCTTCCCCATCAAGGTTTCATCACAATTCTCTTCTTTTTATATATATATATATATATATATATATATATTCGTACGTTTTAAAATATTTTTTTCACTAAATTTTGACATTGTATTAATATAATAAATTTAGAACGCAAAATTTTTATAAGGAGTAAGAAAAAAAAATATACATAATCTACGAACTTGGACGAAAAATTAAAGAATAAATTTTAAAATCTTAATTTTGTTTTAATAATGTAATCTTCAAATAAATGATATTATATATATATATAAAAGAATGAATCGAAATTACATCTATAGAAAAATGTCAAAACTATCATATATCAAATCCAAAACATAAGGTGTTACATAATTTCATTGCATATTTTCGTTAGTTTGTTTATTATTTTTCATATTTCTTGAAAAGCACCTTCAAATGTCTTTAATAATTTTATTAATTAGATAATTAAAATTATAAGTCATTGGGACCTTATATAATTCATCCAAGAAACAAGGATAAAATGAGGGAGAATACAATCAATGTCCCACCAAAAATCCATTTATACAACTAAATTTCATGGGGTAATATAAATTTAAATCTTAAATTTTTTTATTAATTTTATTAAATAAATTAGATTTATATACGATAATAAATAAATCAATTTAGACCCTTAGATTTTTCAAGAAATACTCGCATAATAAAATTTAATATATAAATAATTTTTAAATTAAGGATCTAAATTGATCCAATTATAAAATTTCATAATAATTAATAAAAAAATCATGGTTTTTACTATATTAATTTTTACGTATACTTCATTTTATTGAATAAGATACTTTCTCTATTATTACACCATCATTCATCTATAAATTATGTATATATAATTAATTAAAAAAAAAAAAAAAAGCTGGTTGAATGTCTTTCTAATCTAAATAATTTTACCAGATTTATTTAAAGTTGTGGATCCCACACTATTAATTAAGCCAAAAGAAAAAGAAAAGAAAAGGAAAAAGAAAAAGAAAAACCCATTATTTTTCAATAAAGAAAAAACCATTGTTAATTTTACCTATTAAAGCAACAAATTCAGATTAGAACGCAGAAATAAATAAATAAATAATAATAATAATAATAGTAATGAGTAAAAGTTAAATCATATGATTTTTTTTTTTTAATTTTTCATTTATTTTAAAAATATAAATAGTAATTTTAATCTTACCTTCCTATAAATATTTTAAAATTATGATTAAAATAGAAATAACGAAAATATTAGACAAAAAGAAATAATGTAATAATAATTTAGAATGCTTATTTGAAGTAAATTTGAAAGGAGAATGTTAAAACGTGTCGAAAGTAATGTAATAATTTTCTATAATTTTTTTAATCAAAGAGCAAATTTGAAAAATATTCCATTATAATTGAGCTAAAATGTAAACAAATAAAATAATAATAATAATAATAATAATAAAATGCAGGGAGTTTGAAAGTCATAGGGAGACAGTCGCATTATACGAGGCAACCGGTCGCGTGTCGGTGGCCTCGATTTCAGATATAAAATCGACTGCCCATTTGGTTCTCTATAATTGGCGCTTCCCGTTTTCAATTTGTTTCCCTTCAACTTTTTTTCATCTTCCATTTCGTTTCTCTGTTTCTCTCTCTCTCTCTCTCGCTCGCTCTGCAATTTCCTTATCGTATTCAGTACAATCTCTCTAGCCAAGAGCACTGGAAGAACCGAGAGTGAAAGGAGAGGGGCAGTTCTGGCCGGACTTAGTACCATAGCCGTTCGACTCGGCGGCTGTGGAGGCGGATTTTGGTACCGGAGGAAAAAGAAGAGGCGGAGCCAGAAAAGGACCAAAGTTAAGCTTCGGTTTATGGAGCTTTGGCATAAGATGGTTTTCCCTGTCCGACGAGTTTGGCTCGCTGTTTCCGCTCGAGTTAGGGCTCGGAAGAACGGTTAGTTTGTTAATACTCTTCTTCTTTCGCTTTCGACTTTATTTTTCTCGAATCGGCGTTTGATTATGGCTTAATTTGATCGAATGTGATGATCTAGACTGCTTGATTTGCTTCCGATTGATGGAATTGCTGAATTTCTGTTGCTCTATGGTTTCTGATTTTTCCTCTTCCATTTATTGTTTCGATACTGCCATTTGGAGTTGAAAACTGCATAAGAATTTGTTTGAATCATCATTTACAGTGAAAATTCCTGCATAATATTACGGTATGCGATTAAAAGGGGAAAAAATCTCGTTCTCGATAAATGGTAAAATAAATTTGAAAAAGACGTAAGGAGCCACCAAGTGAACCGAAAGGTGAAATACGGTTCATAATACTAATTTCTTAATCTTTTCCTCTTTCTTTATTAGCTTTATCGCTTTAAATAGGTTATATATTATACCTTGATCTGTATGCAATGGTTATTAGCCACTTAATCTCCACCACTATGATAGCGAGAGAGAGAAAAAGAGAGTTGATGTTATAAGGCAATTGTAAATGGCCATGTGAATATTCAACCTATCCAGTACAATAATTTGGTAGGAAAAATCACAAGGAACGTTCCATAGACATTGGCCCACCTATTCTTACTTTTTGAAAGTGACTCTACATGTAATAATTTAAAAGCGCACCTTAATAGATATTATCCATTTTATTTCGTTATGGGTCGCTACCAGCTCTTTACAGATTTAAAACGTGTTTAGCTGATTGCGGTATGTTACGGGCTAAAGTGGATAATATTTGCTAGTGGTGGGCTTGAACTGTTACAAATGGTATAAGAGTTAGGCATCGAGTAGTGTGCTAGTGAGGACGTTAGCCCCCAAGGGAGGTGGATTGTGAGATCTCACATTGGTTGAAGAGGGGAATACAATATTTCTTATAAAGGGTGTGGAAACCTCTCCCATTTTGAAACCTGAGGATGATAGCAGATACGTAACTAACCAAAAAAATTATATTTACTAGTTGTGGGTTTTGACTTATCCTATATAGCCAAAAATATCACCAAAAGTGATTTTGAATATTAAATTCCTTTTAACTTTAGTTTATGAGCTTAGATGTTTCTATCTTTAAACCGCACTTTCATTTTAGGGAATTCAATTTCTAGACCGACATCTTGCTTTATACTCAAACTACTCGTTTTAATTTTCTTGTTAACAATGAGATTCTAAGTATCATCTTAACTATCTTTCTGAATGTTTGCATGAACTTAATTTTATTTTTTAATATTATATTTTTGGGGACACTTCCCCATTTAATAATGCACAAATAGGTCCCCACTTGCAGCAATGCAGTTGAAGACAGAGCGAAAGATTAAAGGCAACTTTATGCTTAAAAGTTTTTTTCTTATAACAGTTTTGATTGTCTTGTTGTGATTCTTAACAGTCAACTGTCCCACTTGAGACCAACGACGGTCACCAAATGCGCATTAGTTTTCAACTAGTGGCCTCCCAATTTGATTTGGTTTTGTCCTCTATTGCTATTCTAACCATAACGCCAAGAGGCCTGCCTGTCTTTACTCTTTTTAGTATTGTCCAAGTCGCACCACAAATTTCCTCTACCCTCTGCGCGCGCGCGCGCGCACATATATATATAGAGAGAGAGATGAGGTGGGGTGGAGTTAGGTCAGTCCTGTCCCTTTAAAAGGAGTGGGCTCAAATAAGGCCCATTCAAGTCTGAATTGGTTGTTGGGTGGCCCCATCCCTCAAGGAATCTCTCGTAATATGAACGGAACTAATCTTTCATCCATAAGATTGCTCTTTAGAAACCTAAGCTAAGCTAAGCTAAGGTAAGCAATGATGTGAACTTTTGTGCCAACAGGAGGTGGGCTTTTGAAGAAGCTCCATGATGATGTAGAAACCTGTGGGTATGAAGATGTGAAGGTGATGTGGGAAATGTTGCGTCGATCGGAGTCGGAGCTGCTCGGTCAACCGAAACGCAAGCAGCGCCTATTCTGGAGAGTTTCTGTGTGGTCCAACCATGCTGCTGCTGCTGCACCCTCCTGTTACTCTGCAACTCATGCTTCATGAGCCCATCAAATGAACAACTCTACTCTCACTTCAGCTCAGCTCAGCTTCAATATTTCTGCGCCATCTCTTTGGTTTCCGAACAAACCTAACAGCCAATGCTCGCAATGGCACAGAACTCTTTACCAAACTTGTTCAAAGAAATGTGAAGTCTTTGCACACGCAGTTCATCTCTTCCACTTTGAGCAGAAAAACACCCTTTTGTAAGTATTAATAATTTTTTTGGTTTGTAGCTAAGAATCGTTTGTGAATTAATGAGGCTGGATTGGACGTCTCCATGAAAATCAATCGAAAACCAGACATAAATTCAACCTTAATTGAACTTTATAATGTTAAAATTTTCATGTTCCTGGCCGATTTGATTTCTTAAAATGCTTTAAAGTTATTATCATACTTTAAGCATTATTGTGACTTTTATGGTATTATTGTAAGGTTGTAACGTAAGATTGATACTAAGACATTATTGACACAAAGCAGGAGACATGATTGGGACTTAACCATTATGACTTGAAAGGAATCTATATGGAATATGTTAAATTATTGATGAATCCAATGACTTAAATTAATTCTTTAATAACCTATAAATTCAATTTCCCCACTACATTCTCAATCTCAACACCATCTTTATTCAATTTTTGTTTTATTTTTTTTTTGGATAAGTTCTAAATATATATATAAATGTAACATAATAAGTTCTATATGTTAAATTATTAATTATTTTTTTTTGTTGAAAATATAAAAATGCTTACTTTAGTAAATATTTAGACTATGCTTACTTTAATAAATATTTTGGTGCTTGCACATAAAATATAATTTCTACCTAATTTAATATAATTTCCGTTCTATGTTTAAAGATAAGTTTCTATTTGATCCAGAAATTTTAAAAATCGATCATCTTTAATGGATTAAAAAGGACCCATGAGATATTAGATGACAAGTAATAAAAAGACGATTTGACTATTAATGTATCCACGGAATTTGTTGACATGATTTATAATTACCTAAAATTTTCTATGATAGAACGAAAAATATGTTAATTCTTATCACAAAAATATCTTCGAGGTCGTTAGTCAAGGGAGGGAGGACTATCCGTTCCTTAAACTTGAGAATTAGATGTATATATAACCCTAAAATTTAGAAGAAGGTAGAGGCAAATTCTTTCTTTCAAAGATTGAACACAAATAAATAAATAAATTAAAAAAAAAAGAAGGTCAATCTAAGCTAAGCAAAGGAAAGAAAGAAGTCAATATTATTCTAAATGCACCGTTCTCAGATTTACACTCCAACAATCGTGGAACTTAATTCACACAGCTTGAATTGGAGTTCTTAGAACTCCTCCTCTTCTCCACAAATGTTGGAGCCGTCACTAAATCTTCTTCCTCCTCAGCCGCCACCGCCGCCACAAACGGCACAAACATCAGCATCTCAGCCGTGAATCTAAACTCCGGCTTCCTCACAAAACAACCCTTCAAAAAACCTCTCGCCTCCTCCGACAACCCTTCGGGAATCATCGGCATCCCGTGCTTCTCTACAATATATTTCCCAATCCCGTCCCTGTCCGTGGCAGGCCACGGACAGTTACCAGTGAGCATTTCGAGCACGACGCAGCCGAGTGCCCAAATATCACTCGGCGATTCTTGCACGTTGTCGATCAACGTCTCCGGCGCCATACACATCAATGTTCCTCCCAAACAATACCCTCGCTTTGTCTTGCTCATTCTCCTCGCCAACCCTAAATCGCCGATCTTTGCCTCAACTCGTGAATTCCTCGGCAGTAATAAGATATTCGCCGGCTTCAAATCACAATGAATGTATTGATTCTTATGAATATGAATTAACCCTTTGATTATTGACCTTGTGTACCTCCGAACCTCTTCTTCCGGTAAACCTTTTCCACCTAATCAAATAAATATAAGATTTTAAAATTTTATATTCATAATTAAATGAATTCTTTTTTTATTTTATGTAATTGCTGTTCCATGAACATATTGTCTACTTTGAGCATAAGTTCTCATGGCCTCATACCAATGGAAAAGTATTCCTTGATTATAAACTCTGTCAATTCTCTAAATTAGCTGATATGGAACTTTCATAATCCAATAATTGCTACCTGTGTTCTTGATTTGGTCGGCTAGGGTTCCAGCGGGGGCGAATTCGAGAAGCAAATTATAAATCATGCGGCCATTGACGTCGGTGGTGATCTCATCACCAAAGCATTTGATCAAGGAATTGCAGGGTTTTAAATTATCGTAAATTTGTTTCTCCTTTTGTAGGGTTTGGGAGTCGGAAATTTCAGCGGATTTTACGGCAATTACCGGAGGGAAAATGCTGTATTTGGAGATGGGTGGTTTAAGAGAAGCCATGAAAACGGATCCAAAGGTTCCTTTTCCGATCACCGGGCCTCTTTTCCACCGGATTCCGTCGTTGGAAGAGGTGGCGGGAGTGGCGTTGTGTTGTGATGGGGTTGATTTTCTCTTCATTTTTTGAGGGGAGAAGGGAATTTGGAGCGGGCGTTGTGTTGTGAAGTGGTCAGTAATGGTGAAATGGCGAGGAATGAGAGGGTTTTGTAGGGTTTTTTTTTTTGAGAAAGGGTTTTGGATTCGCTAAATTACAGCTGGCGGGAAAATGATTTCATCTACACCGTCTGTTACCTGTTTGCTCATTAATAACTTGGGTAACAGCCACTTTATTTATTTTTTATTTATTTAATAACTTTCTAAATAATTTTACTAAATAAATTGGGTATTTGAAATTAAAAATAAAATAAATCCTCTGTCATTCTAAATTCATGATTTAAGTTGAGTTGAAGTAGCCAAATCACATGGTAAAGATCTATCTCGATTGAAAGCATGTAAAAGGGGTTTGGAACGGGCATGCAACTATGGATAACACGTCTAAGACTGGGATATCTGTCATGCGGCCATTGACAACATGCCTTGGACATGCATGACCATGACATCCTCCCCCACTCAATTGGTTGACGTCCCTGTCAATCAACTTGAACAAGCAGACTAGGACATCTGTCATGCGGCCATAAGCAATATGGTTTGGACAAGATCGTAACATCGTGCTAAACACTCACACTTTTTATTAAGACTAATTGAGAAAAGATTAAAACACTCACACTTTTTTATTAAGTCTTGAGATTACAAGACAGTTGGTAGAAAACTACTGGAGTCTGTGATTTGTATTTCAAAACACTTCGTAGAAAATTATTGGGCTCTGTCCATGATATTTCTTGTGATGATAAACTGAGTAGAGTGGAGGGTATTTATACGAACTTTTTCGAAAAGTATCTAAATCATTTTCCTAAATTTATTCATAAAATTTATAAATCATTTCCCGAACATGCAAGGTTAGGGTTAGGGTTAAGAGTTTCATTTTTTTTTTTTTGGTATTTACTATAACTCTGCTTCTTCACTTTCAATCTCGTTCAGTTTCCTTTGATTTCCTATTATTTCTTCTGATTTCTCTGGCCTCATTGATAATTTTGATTTTGATTTTGATCGTTTTTTCTCTACGGATTGGTAAGTGTTTCTCTGTCTCGCTGTCGCACGATTTCATTGTTCGTTGATTTGGTTTAATTTCTATTTTGCGATTGTGTATTTGTGCGGATTTTTTACTTTATTCGCCTGTAATTGCTGCATTTCATTCATATTCTCTAGTGGCGTCCTTGGTCTCTGTGTGATGTTGTGCGCCGAAAGCAGAACAAATGTACTCACAACACCAAAGTTACTCAAGACAATGACATCCAAAACTTCATGATTTCAACAACAGAAAGAATGGCATTATATAGCATTAGGGTTTTACCAGAGAATATCAGCAAGACTTTTACCAGAGAATAGGTCTAAAGAATAGGACTTGTGACAATTTACAACAATCTCCACCTTGTCATAAGATTTCCAAGTTGATAACTGATTTGGTTGCTAACACGTCAACACACTACTCCTTTCTTCCGACGTTGATGAAATCCAAACAATGCCAGAACTTTTCACGAGCGATCATCTTTGTCAATATCAGCAAGGTTATCAGCAGTTCAGACATCAATATGTTTTGTACGAGCATGATGAACTTGATTTTTTTACTAACAAATAACGCTCTGGCTATCACAAAACACATCTATATGTTCCTGCAAAATACCCAAGTCATTGATCAAACCATGCATCCAAATAACTTCTTTAAAAGCTTTCGTTACTGCCATATACTCTGCTTCGGTGGTACACAATGCAACAGTAGACTGCAATGTTGAACGCCAACAAACAGGTCCACCAGCCATAGTAAATAAATAACCCGTAGTAGACCGTCACTTATCTAAATCACCAGCATAATCAGAATCCACATAACCAGCTACACGATTGTCAAGATTAAACATTTCTTGTTTTTGAAATTTAATACCAACATCAATAGTACCAAGAATGTACCTAAGATTCCATTTGACAGCCTGCCAATGCTCTTTACCAGGATTATGCATATAACGACTCACCATGCTTACTACGTGTGAAAGATCAGGTCGAGTACACACCATAGCAACATCAAAGCACCAATAGCATTTGTATAAGGAATATTCTCCATATACCTTTTGTCATCGTAAGAACTTGGACACATGGAAGCACTAAGCTTGAAATGAGGAGCAAGTGGAGTACTAACGGGTTTGGTTGAATTATTCAAACTAAATCTTGTCAATACCTTGCGTAGATATTGAAACTGAGTCAACCAGACTGTACCTTTCTTTCATCTCGCTCTATCTCCATTCCAAGTATTTTCTTTGCATTGCCTAAGTCTTTCATTTCAAATGTTTTAGAAAGCTTATCTTTGAGGTTATCAATCTCCACTGGTCTCTTTGAAGCAATTAACATATCATCAACATATCAGAGCAAATAGATAAATGATCCATCATCGAGACACC